ACATTCTGTTCTTAACTGGAGTAAAAAGTTCTGTAAAGTTTGGGTCTGAAATACATTAGGTCTTTATGTAGAGATGGGGCTTCCTCCTCCTGAAAATCCATAGTGAACTTGCTTGTGAGATCTCAGCATGAAGAAATATACCATTTAATGTAATAGAGTAATTTCCCTGCACCCTCCTCTATCTGGAAAATGAAATACAGTGCAGGAAAAATATAGTTGAAAGCAAATCTTTAATTTAGCAACATACTCAGATCCAAGCACTATAACTAATCTCTGTTATTTTAGTAGCCAAACAATATCATCAGAAAATGTAGAGACATGTAGGCGGTATTTCAAAACTATGCACTAAAAGCAGTTTGAAAACAACCCATATAGCCCTATGAGGCTATTGCATGTTTGTTTGTATCCATATGAGGTCATTGCATGGAAGGCAGACCACTCTGTCATGAATGTTCGGTATGTCATAAAAATAAACAAAAGAACAAGCAAACCAATCCCATGTAGGCATGTTGTACCGTTCCTTTAGTAAAATTTTAACACACATTTCTTCTATTTTTGTCTTTATCTGAGAGAAATCCTAACAAATAGAGGGGAAAAAAGTTTCTCTTCAATTCTGTGTCGTGCATTTTCTTGGAAAAACAGGTAAATTTATAAAACTCAGACTGTTCTTAAATGTTTGTGCACAGTCAAATTTCAATCCAGAATAACAGGTGATAATACAGCACCAATTGAAACTATGCTGTAGCAGAGCAGCTTCTATATTTGTCTTAAAGAAATTTCTGTCTTACTCAATTATCAGTTATGGTTTCCTTTAAAATCTTGTCAGTTTTATATTTTTTTAACTGGCTCTTATTTCCAATATAAGTTGTTATGTATAAATGGCAGTCGCACCATTTGCATCTCAATTACTGAAGTACAGACATGCTTCTTGGTCCAGAAGCAAATATTTTCTTTTCTGCCCCTCCCAATAATTGTGTCCATGAAGGCAAGCTGTAAGAGGGATGGATGGATTGTTTTCAGGCTTCAGAGGATAACCTCAAGTTCAGCCCAAGCTGATATGAATCTTTGTTTTTCACCAGTATATCCACAAGTTTTCATCTAAGCCAAAGTACTGGTGACTTAGATATCTAACTCCAATACTAAGATGTGGGGGAAAACTCCTACCTTGTTACAAGCGTGTTTGATTACAAAGAATGCGAGCTACACTTGTGCATGTACATGCTTATATGTTAACAGCACAGTGAGATTGTGACATTTATAGAAGTCCATCATTCTCTGATTTTTTTTTTTATTATTTTTTTTACATAAATATATTAAGAAATACCAGCAATAGTTGAAGTGTTAACATCTAGTGATATTACATAAATGGCATATGTACCATGGATTTCTTACTAATGTCCATGAAAATCAAAGCTGGCAATTTGTGAAAGAACTTGTGGGAACTAAACCCAAATTTTCTTAACATTCAAGCTGAACACCTTGGCTTCTTTATAGTTTAGTTAGTTGTACTGTCTTTGGAGGTTTATGTTATATGGACATGAAGGATTTGAATAAAAATAGATGTTTAACAAAGACAAGTTTCAATTTCAGAGTGTGTTTCTGGAGTGCACTTAGTGGGAATGCTTAATAGTAGGCCTTCAGTGGAGGGCGAGCAGGGGTGGGAAGATGTCTCTTTCCATTATAAAATCAAACAGGTTTGGCTATGGAACTTCTAAAGAAACATGAAATGCTTATCTAAACCTCAAGATCTGCTCACCATTGAAGTTCTTCATAAGTTAGTTTCCTAGTAAAATTATTGGATTTTAATATAATTTATTTTAATTTTGAAACATCATGATTTGAGATGGTTAGTTTTATGAAATTGTTTCTGTCCTGTTCAGACAAATGTTGTTTTTTGTTGTTATTACTAAAGCCGTACCCTTTGTGGGAAGATGCTAGTTTTGTTGAGATCTTCGTCAGGAAAAGTTTCTTATATCCTGCATAAAGTCCTAGACCATTCCAGAGAGAGATCCACACTAAATACCCAATAACTTAATGTCAAGGCAGCCAACAGTCCCAAGCTTGCGATTCTCCCACATCCTGGTGACTGCCTTTACTGCCAAAGCTGTGGCTGTTCAAGGAAAAGTATCACTCCTCCAGTGTAGGGGAGAGCCTTAATCTCATAAAGCTTTGTGAAATGGCAAGAATTCCATGCCCAGCTCTAATCATGAGTAACCATATCTAAATAATTTCCAATTTGTTGAAATCATTATTGAAAAAGTCACATTGAGGGCAATGTAATACCAAACACTTTATTACTTATGTTTGTTATTTACAGTATTTACATATTGCACATTAGCTGGAATGTTTTATACATGTATTGTAAAGAAAACTAATGGTAGTTTGTATGTGTATACAAAATCCACGCTCCACTGTCCCAAGGACCTGGGTTTACTCAGAACTGTCTTTTTTTGTATTTATCATGCAATGTGTACTCCCAGGGTACAATGTGACCCCAACATAAGTTTGTTTTAACCAAACTTTAATTGCATAAGCATGAAAGAGATCAAGTGACAACCACTGCTGTAAAGCAGATTCTGTAAGAGTTCTGAATATACAAACATTCCTTGAAGTCTCAGAATTAAGCAATAAAACACTAATTTTCTTGGTGAAGGGTGTGTGTTTGTGTAGTTTTTGGCAGCAGTACACATCAAATGTGGAATGTGTTTGTAAGTATGGATCATTAAGTACTACTGGTGGCTATACTACTGTAAAGAATCTGCACACTGTTGACAACATAGAAAACGCATGTTAAAAGAATTATGGGAAGTAGTCTGTCAATCTGCAAAAATAAATCTCTTGTTCACAATGGAATATGTTATAAAGGTATTTAAGTTCTATTTCCCTGTTGGTTTCCAAGGCACTTTTCTTGGTTCTTGGTGTTTCTTCTCTTTATGGTAATAACATCTGGTGGTTAAAAAATAGAAATGATTAGTTGTCTTTCATCATGTTTCATATTCCAAATGCTTAACAAACTGCATGTGTCAATTGAATACAATCAGTAAATAAAATAGGTAATTTTTTAACGGCTTATGGAAAATGTGGTAGTACATTTATGATTTCCTGATTTATGTTCACATCATTCAACTTAGTCATTTAGTAGTTAGCATTAACTACAGTAGTAAGGTAACAGTTTTGGAAAAGCATCAAACTTTAGTGTAAGAAAAATGAAGAGTATTTTGATACCTCACCATTTTCAATTTGTTTATACTGGGTTTTTTCCCCAATAAAGACATTTCTAAATGCGATAGCACAGTCAAAATGTGAATATACATCAGTAATAATATTAACACATTGGAGTTGTATGACAAAGTTTCAGTATCAATCAAGTTTTATTGATATTCCCCTATAAATCTGATAGCAGGATCAGGAGTAAAGAGGATATTCTTGTTTGAGATGGACTAATGTCTGTAGGTCAGTAGTTAAAAAGAGCGGATTCAGAGGACAAGAATGGGTCTTTTAGCTGGAAATTGTGTTTGTTTGGTTGGTTTGTCATTTGTTTTTGTTTTGTTTTTTTTTAAACAAGCTTTGTAGTGTTTAGCCTTCTCAAAACAACTTCTTGAAATCAAGTAATTAATAGTTGGCAGTGAACATTATGATTCTTCTGGACTTGAATATTCTGGATATTTCTTTTAGCATCTAAACAGGTTAAATCTAAAAGTGGTTACAATTATGGAAATGTATCCTTAATTTCATAACGACACTTGACATTATTTTTGTGACAGCATTTTGAACTTGTATAGTTTTGCAGGCAAGAAAGCAATACTAATGCATAGATAACTATGCATTTTAATAATTAACATTTCTTTAAAAGAAACAATGATACAAAAACTCTTTAAAATTGATTGAGATTTTTGCGATATGCCATAAATTCCTATGTATTTCAGTATATCAGTACAAGTATACACGATGACACTCTTGTAAATATGAAATGTAGTTTTGATTTGAACTCATCAGTTAAATAAATAAAAACATCAAATTAATGAAAGAAATGTGGCCTCCGTGACAGACTTTTTTGTTTTGTACAGTACCCGTTATAATAGGGCCCTGTCTTTAACTGGGATTTCAAGGTGCTACCATAATAACTACAATAATAATTTTAATAATCATTATAAATTGGTTTCATTATGTGTCAACAAATCCTAAATTAAGAAGCTGCCTTTTTCTAGTGGAATATGGTTCTTTTTAATTCTCATAAGTTATTTTAAGGGTCTGATTCAAATAAATAGTTGAGCAGAAATCTCTTGTGCTGCATCTTGGCGTAAATACACTAACTTACAGAAATTTTCAAACTAAACATGTTGCATCTTTTTAAAAATATATTACACTAAGAATTTAAATAGTTCAATAATTCTGCTTTATTTTTCATTTAAGTTGTTAATATAAAGCACAAGTACAGAATGGTATGCTGCTTACTAATTTAAATGGGCATAGACAGGGGTTTTCAGACTACATTTACTGGTATTTCTGTCTTTATCAGAAACTTAAGGATTGCAGATTTTTCATGCTTAGGGAAGTCATGTTTTCATTCCTATTTCTCCCTCCCTTTTCAGAAATACATGTAAGGCTCAAAGTGGTTAGTAACTATTTTTCTGTTGTCACACTTCTGAATTAAGTTTTCCTACATATAACTACTACCATCAAATGACAGAATGACTGCACTCTTATCCTGTTGGGAACTCTGAAAAACATTTGGTTACAATATCTACTGGGAACACAGGCAAACAAGTACTTGCTTTTCCATTCATCCTTTCTTAAATAATCAAAAAGATGTAATGAGTCACTGTAATGATTAAGATTTTTAAAAGCATGAATTAAGTAACAAGGATACATTGTCAGCATAACTAATTTGGTTCCATTATCTATGTGGGATGATTGTCTACATGGATAACATTTCCTGTGGCAGATAGGACAAGGTTATTAAGAATGCCCCAGGATGAAGAAAAGGTCTTATTTGTTTGACAGCAGCACATGGATTCCTATATAATATTAGTGTTTGTGGTAATTCTGCATCGGAATCCTAAAGATGCCTTTGGCAGTGGCCAAAAACCTTTTTCTGTCTGAAGGCTCAGAAGACTGTCTTCCACTCAAAGATGCAGAAAAAGTCAAAAAATGGAGGTGACGAAAGCTGCTGTATAGTAATTATGCTCAACAACCAGCAGAGAGAACTGATGGCAGATTTACCTACTAACAAGGAAGACTGAAGAACATATTATACCATTAACATGGGATATACATTGATGTAGTTTCCAATTCAAGTCCAGCCCCTATTTTAAATTCTAAATGTTCTGAGGCTATGGATCTCAGCCTCTATTTTTCATCACCTAATCTTGGTGGTTGAATGTGCCTAGGATGCTATGTCTTAACAGATGAGGCTACTGAGCCTTGGAGCAAATGAAGCTCTGTTGGTAGACAGATCATGCATATGAAATAACATTTTGTTCCTGATATTTAAAAAGTACCATCTTAACCCTTGACTTGGTGGTAACCCTTTATTCATTAGTTTTACCAGTAAGTTGAGGAGTACCAGTAAGTAACTAATGAATAAACAGTATTACTGGTAACCTTTGAGTTGCTGGTACAAAGCTGAGTGACAATGACCATGAGTTGACACTTTCACTATCCATTGCAAAGCTGGCAAGTCAGCCAGCAATGCGGTAGTCCTTGATATTAGGAAGCTGACTTCCATAAGCTCAGGAGGCTGTTCTTGAGGCCCTGAGCAACCATGACTTCACAGGGAGGGGAGTTCACGATGAGTGGCTGCTCCTTAAGGAAGCAATTCTGACCTGTAGGAAAGGTGGTAAAAGGGCTCAACAGGGAGTTCATAGACCTCCCAAGTCTAAAAAGAAAGGCTTATAAAAGATGGAAGACAGGAAACACCAATAAGGAGGAGTATTCTGCACTGGTTCTCACCTGCAGGGAACAAACTAGGAAAGCCAAGGCTGCAACTGAACTCCTACTGGGTACATGAATCAAGGACAATAAAAAGTCCTTCTTTAGATGTGTGGGGAATCAAAAGAAAAACAAGGGCAACTTTGGACCCCTGCTAAACCAGCTGGGGCAGCTGACCACTGATGCCCAGGAAAAAGCCAATCTGCTTAATGATTACTTTGCATCACTTTTTCACCAGCCCAAAGGGACCACCCTGCCAAACATGATGCTGGAAGACAAGGGTGAGGGGTGAATATAAGCCCAGCATTGCTGTTAATCTTGTGAAGGAACATCTTGAGAGGCTGGACCCCCACATATCAGCTGGTCTGGATGGATTGCATCCAAGAGTGCTAAAGGAACTGGCAGACAGCATAGCGCAGCCACTGGCAAGGATATGCAAGAACTCATGGTGCTTGGGGGAAATACCTAAAGATTGGAAGAGGGCCAATGTGGTGCCCATCTTCAAGAAAGGGAGGAAAGAAGGCCTGGGAAACCACAGGTCAATCAGTTTGACCTCAATCCCAGGGAAGATTTTGGAAAAAATTATCAAACCATTCTTGACAGGCTAACAGAAGGCAACATTGAGGGATAGCCAGAACAGGTTTGTTGGTCAGGCAAGGCCTACCTGCAATCTCATTTCCTTCTATGACCAGGTGCCATATCAGCTGGACAAAAGGGAAGAGGTTGTTGTCATATAGTTGGACTTTAAAAAAGCCTTTGACCTGGTGTCCCATGATGTGCTCATGGAAAAATTGGGCAATTGCAGCCTCAACTACTCCACATTCCGATGACTGGGGAACTGCCTCCGAAGTTGGACCCAGAGAGTGGTAGCTGACGGAACCAAATCAATGTGGCACTCGGTGACTACTGGTGTCCCCCACAGCTGTGTTCTCAGACCTGTACTCTTTAGTGTCTTCATAAACAATCTGGACACTGGTGTCAGAAGTGGACTGGGTAAGTTTGCTGACAACACCAAACTTCAGGGAAGAGTGTCCACACTAGAGGATACGCTGGTGATACAGGCTGACATTAATAGTTTTGCAAGGTGGCTGGATGAAAACCTTATAGCCTTCAATACAGAGAAATGCAAGGTGCTCCACCTCTGAAATAAAATCCTACATCACACTTACAGGCTCAGCAATGCTACACTTAATAGCACCATGACCGAAAGAGACTTGGGGGTCATAGTTTCATAGTTTCTAGGGTCGGAAGGGACCTAAGCAGATCATCTAGTCCGACCCCCTGCCATGGCAGGAAGAGCACTGGGGTCAAATGACCCCAGTAAGGTGGTCATCCAACCTCCTCTTAAAAACCCCCAGGGTGGGAGCCTGCACCACCTCACTTGGAAGCTGGTTCCAGACCCTAGCCACCCTGACCGTGAAGTAGCGCCTCCTGATGTCCAACTTAAACCTTCCCTCCGCCAGCTTGTGACCATTGTTCCTGGTCACTCCTTGCGGCGCTCGGGGGAACAGGGACTCCCCCAGCGCCTGCTGATCCCCCCTAACCAGTTTATAACAGGCCACAAGATCCCCCCTCAGCCTTCTCTTTTGAAGGCTGAACAGGTTCAGGTCCCGCAACCTTTCCTCATAAGACCTACCCTGCTGTCCCTTGATCATACGAGTGGCCCTCCTCTGGACCCTCTCTGCTGTCCACATCCCTCTTAAAGTGCGGCGCCCAGAACTGGACACAGTACTCCAACTGCGGCCTGACCAGTGCTGCATAGAGGGGGAGGATCACCTCCTTGGACCTGCTCGAGATGCATCTGTGGATGCACGACAAGGTGCAGTTGGCCTTCCTAGCCGCCTCCCCACATTGCTGACTCATGTTCATCTTGGAGTCAATAATGACTCCCAGATCCTTTTCCACCTCCATGCTGACAAGAGGGGAGTTCCCCAGCCTGTATTATGACTGACCATAAGATGAATGTTAGCCACCAATGCAATACCGCAGCTGGCAAAACCAAAACTCTGGCTTGC